CCAGTCGCTCGAGCCGTCTCTCTGTGGTGGTGGGGTGGGGAGTGGCTCCCCCAGGCAGGAGGAACAGGGCTGCTTCCCAGACTCCCCAGAGCGCGGCTTAGCCAGCGCCACGGACCCCTCGATCCCAGGCACGGACTCCCTCTCCCAGAGGGACCTGTGTGTCCGTCCCCCGGCTAGAGGGGCTGAGCCCAGGGCGTGTCATACATACAGACCCCGGCTGGAGGGGCTGAGCCTGCGTGGGGGAGGTCCCTGCTGCCCCCTCCCCCCCTCAGCTCTGTGTGCCTGCCCCACACAGGCCCCAGCTGTTTGCCTGGCTGCCCCTACCCAGCAGGGCGGCGAAGATGGGGAAGCTGGAGACCTTCAGGCCCAGCTGCTTGGCCACCTGGTGCATGAGGAACTGATTGGTGGTGAGGCTCTTGCCGTTCCAGCTCAGCTTCAAGGCATGGGCGCTGAAGTAGCAGGGCAGGCTGGCCAGGGCGAACTCCGAGTCGTGGGCCAGCAGCCCGTGGAAGCCACGCTCCCGGAAGAAGGACACCACCTCAAGGTGATGGTCCTCCAGGCTCTGGAAGACCTGCGGGCGGGAGAAGACCGTCACACTCGATGGTGGTGAGACAAGGGAAGGAATGGGGCCCAAACAGAGCCTCCCGCCATAGAGATGGGGATATGAGGGGCCCTGCTATGGGGGAGGGAGAAATGGAGGGCCCTGGTATAGGGGGAGGAGGGAATGGGGCACACACAGGGCCACCCGCTGTAGAGAGGGAAGGGGAGACCGAGCCCCCTGCAGAGGAAGGAAGGAAGGAGGGAACACCGCAGCACGCTGGGGGGTGCAACTGGCAGGTGCCATCTCTGGGCTCGGAGGAATGAGCGGAGGAAGGCGGCAGGGCTTTGCTGGCTTTCTCTCTCCCCGTCAGTGCAACCCGTGGTTCTGCCTGAGGGCTCAGGGACTCAGTACCAGCCATCAGCCAGGGCAGGGGCAGAGCTAATCAGGCCAACTCCACATTGGGCGACCCTGGGCCAGGGGGCCCAACCCCCCACCACCAGGAAACTAGACAGAGGGGTCTGGCTCGCTGGCCCACGACGCCTCTAGCTGCAGCCGATCCCTGATGCTTCCGAGGAGGGCAGAAAAACTACAGTTCTGCATTGGGGAGAGATGGAACCTTCCTTCCTGACCTCAGATGGTGAAGCCCTGAGGCATGGGAGTGGATCACATCCCGTATCCAGAGGCAGAGCTATACTCGGGCATGGGACAAGCAGCTCCACCCAGAACTGCTCCGGCTTCCTGTCCTCGAAGCGTCACCGTCACTTGCTTGTCCCCCACCTCCCTTTGACTGCGATGCTGGCATGATTCCACAACCCTACTGCTGGCTGCTCCTTCCCTCCTTTTAATTAAAGCAGGGTTGCCCAGCCCCACACTGCCAACACGCGGGCTGCTCCAGGGCGCTGGCCGTATCGTGTCAACCAGAGACGCCCTCCAACCCAGGCACCGCTTTACACACAGGCCATGGTACGTCCTTGAGTTCAATGGAGAATCCACACGTCCCCCGGGAAATGGGCCCCTCCCTGTTCAAAATCAACACCTGATTTCCAGGCAGGATTTGTTTAGCTTCAATTTCCAGCCACGAGCTTGGGTTCAAGCTTCCACTACTAGACTGGTGAGCCCATTAGTAAATGTTTGGTCCCCCCAGAGGTGTTTAGAGACTGGGATCACGTCACCCCTTCACCTCCCCTTTTTGTGGACTTCAATAGATCGAGCTCCTGGTGTCTCTCTCAGGCCCGTTTTCTAACCCTTTAAATTGTTCTCCTGGCTCTTCTCCGGCCCCTCTTCAACTGATCAACAGCCTCCTTGAATTCCAGACACCAGAACTGGACACGGGATCCCAGCAACAGTCGCACCAGGGCTGAATCCAGGGTGAAATCACCTCTCTGCTCCACCTCGAGATTCCCCGGTTTATACCTCCCAGGAGGGCCTTAGCCCTTTCAGCCCCGGCCTTGCACCGGAAGCTCCCATTCAGTTGCTTCTCCCCCACGACCCCCGTCCTATTTCTCCACTTTGTCTGGCACAGAGTGTTCCCCTGGTACCACAGCTCGAGGGCGGACGATGCAGCTAGCCCTGTAAGTAACCTTTCTTATCGAGCTGTTTCTACCACATCCAGCACTTGGGTACCAGGAGCCCACATTAAAGGTCAAAAAAGAACCACTGCTGATGATGGAGAGAGAGAAATCCAACAGACACAATGAATACGAGTCACCCAGCACTGAGATGCAGCCACCTCTGGGGCAGGGCACCTGAGGAAAAGCCACATATAACGCCACATAGAGAGGGCTTGCCCAACACTGAGGTGCAGTGGCAGCTGGGGAACAGCTGCACACAACCCCACATAGGGAGGGCTTGCCCGGTGCTGGGATGCAGCCACCTCTGAGGAACAATCACACAGCCAGGTGGCCCAGCCGGTTGGGAGAGGAGACGAAAGAGAACGACAAGTGCAGGGGAAGGAGGCAGAAGGGAGTACGGAGGCAGCAGAGAAGTTAGGGTTACGGCTCAGACCGCAGGGAGTGGGGCTCATGCAGGGCAGAAGGGGCCATAGGTTGAAGGGCAAGGGGCACGCGTGAGTAGGCACAGTCATAGGGCGCCAAGCAGAGGTGTTGGATGCACAGACATGGGGGGAAGGTGCGCAGCCGCCCTCTCCTACCTTGACCCGGAAGCGGATCATGGCCAGGCGGACACAGTGCCCCAGGCAGGCAGGGGGCAGGAACCAGGCACGGGGCGGCGGCGTGCCCTTGTTGCCCACGTGGCCAGCGATCAGCTGGGCTGTCTGCCGCTCGGCCTGGGCCTTGCGGCCCCACTCGGGCAGCCGCTCCTTGCCCAGCCCACCGTTGAAGATGACTGCCAGCTCCAGCCCGCCCTGGTAGAGGCAGGCCTGGGACAGGGCCGCCAGGTAGCCCACCATGGCGTTCCACTGGCCACCGCACACCCAGTCTGTCTGGTAGCCGCCATACAGCCGCTGCAGGGCCGAGTCCGCGTCCACCAGCAGCCGGGCCGGGCAGGCCGATGTTAGCCCCGGAGCATGCTGGGAGTGGGCCGCCACCGTCGCCAGCCCCGGAGCATGCTGGGAGTGGGCCGCCACCGTCGCCAGCCCCGGAGCATGCTGGGAGTGGGCCGCCAGCCCCGGAGCATGCTGGGAGTGGGCCGCCACCGTTGCCAGCCCCGGAGCATGCTGGGAGTGGGCCGCCAGCCCCGGAGCATGCTGGGAGTGGGCCGCCACCGTTGCCAGTCCCGGAGCATGCTGGGAGTGGGCCGCCAGCCCCGGAGCATGCTGGGAGTGGGCCGCCACCGTTGCCAGCCCTGGAGCATGCTGGGTATGAGCTACCGACGCCAGCCCCGGAGCATGCTGGGAGTGGGTCGCGAGAGGCAGCGGGTAGGGCCCGGGCAACGGCTGGAGGTAGCCGGCCAGGCTGCAGTAGGGGGGCCCCCCGCGGACCCCCGCCGCCCGGGCCAGCTTGAGCAGGTCGACGGGCACCACGGCACCCGGGCAGCGCTTCTCCACGAACTCCTGGAAGCCCTGGACCCCCATCGCGGTGGGCCCCACTTCGGGGTCAGGGCGAGGGGGGGCTGGACCCCCCCCTCCCCTCGTCGGGGGCTGGCTCCTGGGCTCGTCCCCGCCCCCCCCCTCACAGCGCCCAGAGCTTTGGGGCGGCCGTGGCCGCCATGTTGTAGCTTTCTTCTCCTTCTCCGCCTCCCTGCCAGCCCCTCCCCCGCCCGGCCGCGGGGCACGTCGGGAGTTGTAGTTTACTCCCTCGGGGTGCGCCCCTTAGAACCCATGGACGGGTGGGAGGCATCTGGACTACAAGTTCCGGCAGGCCCTGCGGGAAGCGCGGCGCCCTCCCGCCATGTTGTCCGGGCCGCCTGCGCGCGGGCTCATGGGAGTTGTAGTCATCTCCGCCAGGGCAGCCCCGTTACCACGGAGGGCGCGGGAGAGCTCGGACTACGACTCCCGACAGCCCGAGCGAGACGGGCAGCCCCCTTCTCCACCATGTTGTCCGGTGCATCTCGCAGGGCGGCATATGGCCTCATGGGAGTTGCAGTGCCCAGCTCCCAGGCTGCAGTGAGCCCTAGGGTCGCCATCTTGCCTGGTGCCGAGTCTCTCCCAAGGGATCATGGGAGTTTGTAGTGCGGCTCGCAGAACGCCATCTTGTCCGTCGCAAAGCCTCATAGAAGGTCTAGTCGCCACCTGGGAGTGACCAGCAAGGACTACAACTCCCAGCGGCCATTGCTGCCCGCAGCCACCTTTGCCCACCCTGCTTCCTAGCCCCAGGCCATGCTGGGAGTTGTAGTCCAATAACTTCCCCACCCCCAGCAGCCTACAGTTCACAGTAGCCTCCTTACCCCAGAGAGCTGAGGGGAAAAGGGTGGGGATTATATTACCCAGAATCCTCTCAGAGAACAGGGGGAGGGGCCTCATTGACATTACCCAGAATCCTCTCAGAGAACAGGGGGAGGGGCCTCATTGACATTACCCAGAATCCTCTCAGAGAACAGGGGGAGGGGCCTCATTGACATTACCCAGAATCCTCTCTGGGAAAGCAGGCGGGGGGGGGGTTTCTCGATTTAGGCAGCAGGGCCTCGGGCTGGGCTCACAGCAGCATTGTTTGCGTCGACAGGGCGAGGCCGCTCTGCACCAGCTCAACACGGGGCCTGGCCGAGAAGCTGCAGGCCTGGGGCTGCGCTTCTGTGCTTCACAGCCCGCTACGTCCGCATTACAAGTGAGTCCTGCCAGTCACAGCTCAGGGGATTGATTGTTTTCCCCTGTGCTCAGCCTCACACTATCCCCCCCTCTTTTTTATCCCCCACAGGTCTATTCATGTTGGCCAGGGGGAGGTGGTTGGCGAAGGAAGTGGAGAATTTTTGCCTGTGTCTCCGCTCCCCCCCTTCCCAAACCCACACACTTCCACTTCCCCTAGGATAAACTGGAGATTTGTAACCACCAAAAAGAAACAAAATATTAAAAAACAAAAGTCCAAATGTATTTTAGGTTAACATAGTTTTCACCAAACATTTCACCTTTACAGAGTAAGAACGTGTAAAATGAAGGACAGACAGACTGCTGGGTTTCGGAAATGAAACAGCCCAGAATGCATCATTTTAACGACTATTAAATAAAACACCTTAAAGGGCTGTTAAGAATCACGCCCCGCGGAACAATGCCAGTGGCTTGGCTTATTTTGATGGCTTAATTAGGGACACAAATAATTCATGAGCAATGCTTCTGTGGATAAAACAAGCTTTTCAAATTGTAGCTACTGAAAGGCAGATCGGTGCTCCAGCTTTCACATGCGCTACCAAAGATCCCAGGTCAACGGTGCAGTGTCTAAATCATATTTTCATTCATCTAGCTGAATTCAAGGGGGGGGATTTGCCTCAAGAGAGCAAATGCAATCGCTACACAAATAATTAACTGAGAAAACGGAAGATCAAATGTCACTTTGAAGTCCCATAAGACGAGGGGTGGAAATAAAGCAACATTGGGAAATTGGAGGCTGGATTCAAACAGCACTAAAAAAAATGAGGTAGATAAAACCAAGAGCAAACATAAAAAGCACCAGGTTCAGCAGACTGTACCCCAAACCAGCCCGTTATTAAACTGATCCATTCGTTACAGTGGACGCTGACCCTGGCAGACTTCCACCTGAAAGAGGCACAGCAGGAAAATAAAATGTCTCTTTAAAAAAATAATAATAATAATAATAATAATTCACATTTGTTTATCACCTTCAAATTCTTCATGCTGGATAGAAAATAAAAATGCCACGTGGGACCCAGAAAGCTCCTTGTTACATTACAGCCAACGAAAAGATGAACCGTTCCATACAGACGGAACGCCGCTACTGACTCTTTGGGGGCTGGGGGTGCGGTTTGGTTTGTTATCAGATTTACAGCATCTATTTCTAGCGTGCTGCTCAGACACTTCATGATAGAGAGGATACATCTGGAGGGACTGCAGTCTTCGAAGGACTTGTAGTTTGCCCTAGGAAACAGACACAAGCGTCTGGTCCATACAGACAGTAGGTGTTTTCCCGGTCTAACTGCAGCCATTTCTGCTGTTGGGCCCTGATCTGGGACACCCTCCCCTTCTGCTGTTTAAAACCCTTCCTGAATCAAGGCTAGATTCCCAGTGTCACTAAGGGTCTGTCTGTGCATGGACTCTTCCCAATTAACTGTTCCTGTCCCTGATTACTCATACACTTCAACTTGTGCTTTGCTGGATCAGGGCCAGAGCGCTCCACAATTAGCAGGGTCAAAGCCAAAAGCATCCTCCAGACCTGCTTTTATACCACTCTCCCTGGGTGAGTTACAGACAGGGTACCAGCCCCGTCCCTCCTGTAGACACGGCTGTACCACTACAGCTTTCTCCTCGTCCTTCAAGGGAACAGCCAGACCAACAGGTGCACACGAAGGTGTGCTTTCACTCTACCTGCATAGCACTCGGATTTCTGTCCGGTTTTGGTGTCAGTTACAATCAGGTCCCAGAGCTAGTTCGGAGTCTTAGGCCTGGGTCTACAGAAAATCCCTCCTGCTGCAGCCTTGCAAGAGCAGACAAGCCCTTGATTTCCCCTCCCACCGGAAAACCAAAGGCTGTTTCGCAGATCTGTGCTTTGGGGAAAGGAAGAAAGCTAAGGCCAAGCACCTCCCATTTCCAAACACCCTCTCCTCCAAGTGGAAAACAAAACCAGACTTCGTAGCCCAAGTGCCTACACCGTTTGAGATTTGTTTTTAACGGAGTGAACACAACCAGCCAAAAAACAATTGAAAAGTCTTAAAAAAATCCAAAAAATCCCAGGGAGATGAGAAACGCTGTTCTCAGGTCTTCACAAACGCCGCTCGCTATCTGCGTGTGGGTTTGTTTTCTGCACGTGTTCGCTATAAAAAAGTTAAACCCACTGGTGTCAAGTCACCCTCGGACATGCAGCCCTTCCCAGTAAAAATCTGACAAAAACCTTAGGAGACAGCAGTTATAAGGCAATGCAAGTGGCTGCAGGCAGACAAAGCAGGGGGGGTGGGGGGAGCATGGAATGGGGCCGGGTTTGCACCTCTACCTGGGTCCATTCCTAATGCTGTTCTAAGCGGAGCTTTCAGGGTGGAGCAGAAGCATTTGGCACATCTGAAAAGTTCCTATCTGACAAAGGGCCCAGCCTTGCAAGATCCAACAGACTTGAAAGCCACCTGGCAAAGAAATGTCTGTTTGAAACTCAGGATGCAGAAAAGGCCACGTGACAGAAACGCCAAGGGGAGATGGGATGAGTTTTGGCAAGTGATATTAAGTCCCTGTTCCTACCACAAATCTAACCCAACCCCATGTGCTAAAATCCTTGCAAAGACAATAAGGAATTGAAGCCAAGTTGGGTACCGGTGTTGGAGTCAGTGGGTCCATCAGGTGAGACGGAGAAAGAGGATTTGCTGCACTTCACGTAAACCAAACTTCAGCTAAAAAAATCTCCATTAGCCTCAATTAGTCTCTTTCTCTGAAAGCACTCTCTCCAAGCATAGCCACTGCAGGGCTGCAATCAGGGGACATGTGCTAGTCTACAACCCAGGCCTCGGAGGCAGGTTGCAAAGGGAAAGAATATTAAAAAGAAACAAACCCAACTGAAAGTGAGCCGTTTCGAATGCGCTCCAGATCATAACGCGAAGTCGACCCCCATGTTCAGGTTGCTGTGCTTAAGATTTCAGAGCCCAAAAGGGGTCAAATATGAGCTATGAGATCAAAGCCAGGATGACGCAGGATGAAATTTTCAGAAGTGCCATTTTCAAAAGAGACGTAGGAGCTGATTTTCAAAGGTATTTAGGAGAGTAAAGATGCAAACAGGTGCCTACCAGCATAGTCACAAAGCACTAAGCAGGTTAGGTGGATAAATTTGATTGAAATCAATGAGTTAAGCCGCTAAACTGCTTCTTCCTTTGAAAATCAGGAAAAGTCCCTTTCAAAAATGGACTTGAGGCAATATTTTCAAATGCGCCTAAGATAGAAAAACATTGGAAGCCAGTGCTTCTGAAAGGCAGGCTTTTCAAAACGAGGGCAGCTGCAAAAGCACAGGGTTTAGCAGGGCTAAAGTAAGACCCCAATTCACTGCGTTTGCTCCCAAATTCTCTACAGCACAGAGGTGCACACAGCCCTGTTGCCCTGTCTAATTTTGCACCTCCAAATCTGTGTCCCAGATGGGGTGACTGAGATTGGAAGAGATTTAAAATAGCCCCCTCCCAGCAACTCCCCCCCACTCTGAGACTCGTGTCTGCTGCAAAAATAACAAAACCAGAACTCATTTCAACAGGAAACACCCAACTACCCAAGCATCTCTCAGCTGCTCAAATCAAAGAAGTGTGCGTATGAGGAACGAGGAAATAGCTGCTGGCTTTGCACGGAGCTGCCCTGAGTGGCTCAAGGATATTCCTGACACAGCAACAGGATTGGTGAGATCAAGGAAACCCTTTTTTCAGTCCCCAATCCTCCTGGCTCAGGGTTGGAAGGAGGGTCTTTAGAACTCAGCAGAAGCTAGCTGCACTGATCAAAACATTTTTTCTTTCTAAACTTCCCAGCCGCAGCTCAAACCGACGTGAGTTCTAGGAGCACATTTTCCATCACCTAACTTAAAAACCAAATCAGAAATTCCTCCCCACCATCACGTCTGCCATTTAAAAGATGCAGGCGGACAGCTTCTCCGCCAGAGAGGGGTGAAATGGAGGTTTCTTTCTGAAGCGATCACGTCTCAGGAGCATGAGACGCAGGAGCCAAGTTTACCAAAGCTGGTTAAAAAAATCAAATCAAATCAAGTATTCCGGGAGGATAGGAACCGTGCCACAAGTCACTGTTAGCTGAGCCAAATCGCCTCCACTGGCAGACTGGGCGTCAGCCACACCAGAATCCACACGGTTTGCAGGCCACGATGGGGGAGTACGACAACACCCTGTTTGCCTCCAGCTCCCTGCTCTGGCTTCATTTGGGACCAGGCGGGATGGTAGCTGGGTTAGGGACCGGGGAGGCCGGGAATCCCAGCATGCTGCCCCCAGGCTGGAAGGGTCCGATGGGCGGGGAGGGGACGACCACCGACTGCTGAGCCATCCCCGAAACACCCACCCACTGCATTGGGTAAGCCGCCCCTGCCATGGCGTTGTACTGGCAGACGTGGGGCATGCCGTAGGGCGGCAGGACGCTGGGGAAAGCCGGGAGGGCCAGTCCGGGGGGCAAGGAGGCCGGCACAGTCCCGCGGATCTGGGAGAGGGAGGAAATCCAGGTGGATGTGTAGCCCACTGACGAGGACGTGTTCTAAAAAGAGGAAGGGGAGAGAGAGAGCAGTCAGATGGATCAGAAAATTCTGAGCCCATTCCCCTCGCAGCGCCAGGGAGAGAACCCAGGAGTCCTGGCTCCCAGCCTCCCCTGCTCTAAGAACTAGATCCCCCTCGCCTCCCGGCACCGGGGACAGGACCCAGGTGTCCTGGCCCCCAGCCGTCCCCTCTCACCTCGCAGGCTTTGCTCCAGCTGTCCCCCTCCAGCCGGTGCTGGTTCTGTTTGATCTGGTTCAGGCTGGGTTTCATGAGGGCGTTCCCGACCGCCTCCTTAGTCCAGTCATCCACCAGCTTGTGCAAGTCGTCGGTGAACATCCCCTTCTTGCTGGCCGGGGACTGCTGGCAGGAGGCAGTCCCACTGACAGCACATAGCTGCTCTGTCGGGGAGAGGGGCAGAGAAGGGGTTAGGCAGGGCGAGGGTGGCCATGGCCCTCCTCACATGGGCAGCGACACCCACAGCTAGCCGACGTTCCCCGTTCCCAGGGGGAGGAATTAGCCAAGTAAACGCCAGCCAAGTTCTTGGCCCTCACGGCTCCTTGGAGACGGGGCCAGCCCGTCTTACAGGGTGGGCAAGTGAGGCAGAGAGGGGGAGGGAAGGGAAAGATTTGGTATCCACCCGTCCGTCCATCCCCATCCAAACTCCTCTGGTCCATCCATCCCCAACTGCATTCCTCCAGCTAACCATCCGTGCATCCCCAGCCATGTCCCTCTGTCCATCCATCCCCACACACCCCTCTCTCCTTCTTCTTCCCCATCCCTCCCTACATATGTCCTTTCATTCATCCATCCATCCCCGTGCACCCCTTCCATCCCCCCCACACCCATGCACTCCCCAAATGCATCCATCCCACACATACCCTTCCATCCCCCCACACACCCATCCATCTCGCCATCCATCCCCTCCCCGCCCCCGCACACCCATCCAGCCATCCAAGAATTTGATCCTGACACCCATCACCGTAATATCTGGGCACCTTGCACGTGAAATCAAGGGCAGTAGCGAGGTCCCTAGTGCTTAGATGGGAAGCTCTGCGGGGGCAGGAACTGTCTTTCTGTTCTGGGTTTGTACAGTGCCTGGCGCGTTGGGGTGGTGGGCCATGGCTGGGGCTCCTAGGAGGTTCCGTAATACACCTAATACACACTGTACAATGCCCAGCTCAGGTGATCAATCCCCTGTCATGGCAGGGTCCCGGGGCGTCGGAGGCACCGGGGTCTCTCTTGCTCAAACAGCGATTCAGCCCCATTTTACATTAATGCCTCTGGGCTCACTGCCAGGTGGAACTCGCTGGGCTGGGCAGGGGCCGGAGCGCACCATCCAACGTGCCCGCCTGGGCTTGCGTGCTAGAAGACTATGGGTCTGTGCACCGAGACTGGTGGGGGGCAGCAGAGCAGATAAGTACAGGGTGGAGGGCCCAGACACTGGGGCAATGGGGCCGGAAGCACCCCCAAGCCCGAACCAATGGGGCTCTGAGAAGTATAGAAAGACAGAACCAGCTGTGGCCAGAGAATTAGATTACGCAGACCCAAGAGGGGCCAGAGGAGTAAATCAGACAGACACAGACAAACCAAACCACCAGCTAGAGGAAATTTCCCCCTGGGTCAGGCTATCCCAGAGCAGCCTAGCGGGGTCTCTTCGTAAGGGCTCCTAGCTCACACAAAGTGCTTTCCATCTGTAGGTCTCAACGTGCTCTACACAGGGGTGCTAGTATCTTCACCCTGGTTTCACAGATGGGGAAACCGAGGCACAGGCCAGGGCCAAGCGACTCATCTGAGCAGCCAGGAACAGAACCCAGGTCTCCCAAGTCCTAATCTGGTGCTTTAATCCTTAGCCCGGGCTGCCTCCACCCTGGGCTGTCTGCAGGGGAACTGGCTAAGTGCCTCCCCTCCCCCGGGGCGCAGAGGTACCTGGGCTGGGCTCCCCCGGGGCACAGCTCTGATGCAGCAGGCGGGCCTGGATGCTCAGCTGATAGTCAATCATGGAGGCGGCGGTGGTTGTGCAGCAGCACTCTGTGCGTACGGGAGGGAGGGAGTTAAAAATCACGACGTAACCCACTCGCTTTCCAACCCGTCAGCTCCCACGAGCCACCAACCCTGGGCTACAACCTAATCTGGGGGGGTCAATCGCACCCCACCCCCACTCCATCCAAAGTCAGTAGCCCCCTCAGGGCAGCTGGCCCTGCTGTGGTGACCATGGGCAAGTCACGACCTTTCTGTCCCTCAGTTTATCCAGCTGTAAAATGGGGATATATATATACCAGCTTCCTCTGTGAAGGCTGGCAGATTACATAAGGTGTACATCATTAAGGATGAGCGTCGTTAACCACTGGAACAATTCCCCATGGGGCATGGCAGATTCCCCATCGCTGGGCACTTTTCAGTCAAGGTGGGCCGTTTTCCTAAGAGGTCAGCCCCAGGAATTACTTTGGGGACACGCTCTGGCCTGTGTCAGACTAGATCAGTGGTTCTCAACCAGGGCTACACATACCCCTGGGGGTACTCAGAGGGCTTCCAGGGGGTCAATCAACTCATCTAGAGATTTGCCTAGTTTTACAACAGGCTCCATAAAAAGCACCAGCGAAATCAGTGCCCACTAACGTGTCACACAGACAACGCCTGGTTCACACTGCTCTGCCAGTGCAATAGTTCTAGCCCAAGGGGTTTATTTTACAGCGATCTGGTACAGATGTGAACATCAGCCATTTGTCAATACCGCTATGCCTGGGACGCTTGTCTAGTTCTAGGTCTGATTTTGTAAGCAAGTCGATTTTAAGCGAGGTGAAACTTGAGGGGACGCAAGACAAATCAACCTCCTGAGCGGGGTCCGGCAGTCTGGAATGGTTGAGAGCCCCTGGACTGATGATCGCAATGGTCCTTCTGCTCTGAAATCTAAGCACCTCGCTCGGAGCCAGGGGCCATTGTTCATAGGTTTGGCTAGCTTCAACTTCCAGCCCTGGCATGGCGGGAGACGTTCGCCTGCCACACCGAAGAGCCTGTTACCAAATATTTGTTCCCCGTGCAGGTACATCTAGGCGGGGATCGAGCCAGAGCGACCGAGCTCCTTGCTAAAGCCCGGTTTCCAACCCTCGGATCATCCCCATGGCTCGTCTCTGGCCTCTCCACCTCAAGCTCCCCTGTGCAATGCCAGTTCCCTTTGATCCCCATCCTGGAAGGCCAGAAGGGACCAGGGCGGCCCCACGTTGGCCAGGGCTCATTTCCTGGCTTACCTGTGGCGACGATACAGTTCTCGGCGTGCGTCAGGACCTGAGGCCGGCTGCGCAATTTGCTTCTGAAGGAGCGAGGCCGGCGGGGGGAGGCGGGCTGCAGGGACAGCTCCGACAGCTCAGGCTTGCTGTCTTTGAGGGCGTGCAGGCGTTTGTACAGCTCCTGCAGCTCCCGGCTCTGCTGGGCCTGGAGCGTCACCACCTCCTGGACGTGTCTGCGGGGCAGGAAAAGCCATCAGCACGGCGTCCCCAAACCAGCAGGAACTGGCTTTGGACAAGTGAGCTACTCAGCTGCTCCGTGAGGGGGGCCTGGGTTCCCTCCCCAGCTCTGGGAGGGGAGTGGGGTCTAGTGGTTAGAGCAGGGTGGGGCTGGGAGCCAGGACTCCTGGGTTCTTTTCTTGGCGCTGCCACTTCCCCGACCTATGCCTCTGTTTCCCCTTGTCTGTCTAGCATATTTAAACTGTGAGCTCCTGACCCACTCTCTGGGTGTTGCGCACGCCCGGCCCAACGGGGCTCCGACCCTGACCTCTAGGCATAAGAGGAAAAACAACAAATGGTCCTAACAATTCGCTCCAGGCTGGCTCTGAAAGGACAAAGCAGGACTGGACTGAGGCAAGCCTGAGTCTGCACAGAGCCTGCGCTGATTGCTCGGAGAGATGTGAAGTGACCCTGTCTGAATCTGCAGAGCACCTGAGCCAGCAGCTGCCCTGTACCTCTCCAGCCCAAGCCTCACTGCTTGGGGGGCCTGGCGAACCCCACCCCAGCCAGGGGCTGGACGTGTAGGAGGAGAAGCCCTGGGGGAGGAGATCCCTGGTCCTTGTGCAGGATTGGGGGGAAGAGAGTTGGAGGTCACAGTCGGGCTTCCCAGGCCCCCTTACTTCTCCCGCAGCCGCTGCAGCTCCACCTTCAGGTCCTCATCCTCGAGCTCAGACTCGTCATCGCTGCTCATGGGCGAGGAGGCCGAGTGGAAGAGGGAACTACGGCGCATGGCCCCATGGCCGGCACGGTCCTCGGCCAGCGGGGGGCAGTGGTCCCTGCCAGACCCCAGGGTCTCTCCCGATTCCTCGGGGCCCAGCTCACTATCGGAGCTGGGCTGCCTCAGGACAGGCCCCTCGGCCCACGGCTCTGTGCTGCTCCCTGTGGCCGACAGCTCCTCCAGCTCCTGCTCTGGGGTGAGGGAAGAGGCATCGGTCTCGCAGGCCGGGCCAGCCCACAGGAGCGACTCTCCCGGCGGGGGGGTGCCTGGATCGTCCGTCTGAGGCTCCTCCGGCCCGGCAGCATCAGGTCCGGCGTCTGCAGTGCAGGGAGCTGGCTGCTGCGGCACGGAGGTGACCTGGGACAATCAGGGATGGACAGGGTTAGCTGGGAAGGGCAGGGCCCCGCCCTGAAGAGATCATGCCTAGGGGTGATGGGAGGGGCTGGGAGCCAGGACTCCAGGATTCTCTCCCCGGCTCTGGGAGGGGAGTGGGGTCTGGTGAATTAGCGCGGGGGGGCTGGGAGCCTGGACTCCTGGGTTCTCTCCCTGCCTCTGAGAAGGGAGCAGGGTGTGGCTAGTAAGAGCAGGGGGACTGGGAGCCAAGACTCCTGGGTTCTCTCCTCGGCTCTGGGAGGGGAGCAGGGTCTGGTGGATTAGAGCCAGGAGCATGGGGAGGGAGCCAGGCCGTGGCTGGCAAGACCCACCTGGAAGCGACCTCGCTGATAGGACACCGAAGCCGATCTCCACCTCCCACTGGCTTCGTTCGCCCCAGCCTGCTCGGCAGGCCCCTCCGTCCTCGTCTCCTCTGCCTCTGCTGCCAAGGGGCGCCACAGCGGGAAGAAAAGAAGAGCAGAAACAAGGGAGGGCATCGCGGGTTGGAACCGCACCACAGGGGCCGCACCTCCCAAGAGTGATGCCACGTCCAACGCTCTGCCCCCGGTGCTAGCCGGTTTTTCCCAGCCCCCCACCCTCCCCGAGACTTACACTTCTAGGTGGAATGGAAAACAATGCGGGGAAGCGGGGGGAGCCCGAGAAAAGGAAAGTGGCGATGGCTGTGCGGGGTGAAATGACGGGCGCGGAGGGGAGGCGGCGTGGGCGGGGAAAGAAATCATAAGGGATGCTTTACCTATGGTAGATCCCTGTCTCTAAGCACACTACCTTGGCGGACTTTGGATCTCTTGAAAAAGCTGGTGGATTGCCGGAGCCTGAACGCCCAGCTTTTTAATTTGCGAGTCCAGGATTTCTTGCTAATAGGGTTTTTGAGACTAGGGCAAGTAAAGCTTAGGCCAAAATATCCACCTCCTGTCTGCAGATGAACGGCTCCGATGCTGGCTACTGCAGCGGGGCAGGCCTCGGGTTTCGGCGGGGAGGAAGGCTCCGGGGACAGCTCCTGAAGGAGACACAGGGGAGGGAAAGAGAAAGAGCTGCAGCACCTGAGTGGGACGGGGCAGCCGCAGATTCGCAAGGCAAAGGGGACCCCAGCGCCCCCCACATCAGACTTCCCTGAATTAACTGCTGGGTGCCCTGGAGATCTCCCAGAGGAGGGTGAAGGGGGCTCGGGAACCACCATCCTGTCCCAACCCAACTTTCAGACCCCCTCGCAGCTCCACCACATGTATCTAAAGGACTTTCCAACAGGCCGGTGCATTGGGGGCCTGATCTCAGCCAGGGGAGGGGTCTGTGCAGCACCCGGCACAAGGGGGCCCCCGATCTCGGCCGGGGGGGTCAGAACATCTTGGCCCCAACCCCCCAACGCCAGCATTGTGTCCTGGGTACCGTAACTAGACCCATACCCGCCGTCCCCCCACGCCCTCCATACTCACTTGCAGACAGAGTTCGCTGGGCGCGACCGTAATGATATCGGGGTCCTGTCTCAGCGCTGGCGAGCCAGCAGGCTGGCTGGCAGCCTCGGCGGGGGGCAGCGGAGACCCCTCGAAGGCGTCAGTCCCCTGGGACTCTGCCGGGGAGGGGACGGCGGCTGGCGCTTCCGGCCCAGCACAGGACAGCGTATCCTCGGCCGAGGAGAGTGGGGACTCCGTGCTCTGCGTGTCCTTCTGGCTATCGGAGTAGCTGTGCTCTGGGTAGAGCAGCGTCCTTAGCTTCTCATCCAGGGTTTTGATTCGGTTGTCGACAAAATCCATCTTGGGTGGCCCCTCGCCGTCAGATTCTGGCACCGAGGGGGGCAGAGGGGCCGGTTCTGAGCCAGGCGTCTGCACCTGCCCGGTGCTGGAGCTCAGAGAGGCGTCTCCTTCTTGCGGAGGCTGCTGGGACTGGCATTCAGACGCCGGGACCTCGGCCAGGAGGGGCGGCTCACCAGCGTGGGCCACTGCCAAGCCGACCGGGCGGTCGCCAGGCTGTGGGGCAGGGGGCTCTCCAGTCTCCGGCCCAGCCCAGTTGTCGTTGGCAGACAGAGGCACGAGTGTCTCCGCGTCTCCTTCCGCCAGCCGCTCAGGTTTCGAGCCGGGGCACTCTGGTGCCGTGCTGTCCTTTGGGCTGGCATTGGGACCCTGGCTCTCAGCAGCCAGCAGCCCCCCCTGCGGGTATGTCTCCTTAGCATTCTCCTTGTCCGGACCTGTAACAACCGCAGGGGGAAACGTTACACCCCGACCAAGACACTGAACAGGGACCTCGGCCCCTAGCAGGTACGTGTGTCTGTCATCATCAGTAAAGACAGCTGTGGGGGTCTCCCCAAACTAAGGGCCTAAGAAGGAGCGGCTGGAAGGTGAAGGGAGCTGCTGGAAATATCTGTGGACCCCCTGCCGCTGAAGGATCTTCACAGAGACCCGATTCTCAGCGGACTCAGGCTGTATGACTATCAGTCACACTAACAGCAGTTCACACCTCTCTGAGCGATTGGCTCAGGCTCTCTGTAGACTCAGGCAAGATCACCGAGTCAGGTCACACTCAGGGCAATTCCCCCTTCTCAGAGCAACTGAGACCCATTCCTTCCCAACCCTAAATCTGGCTATCAGTTTGACCATGAGCAGGGGAGAAAGACCCACCAGCCAGGCATCCAGACGGAGGATTCTCTGGACTTTCTCAGAGCATTAGCCCACCCTGTCCAGTGCCCTGTCTTACCCCAGCTTAGACCAGGATCCAAACCTGGGCCCTTCACATGAGCCCTACTGCGTGGGCTACAAAGGCTTATGCCAAAGCTAAGAGAAAGCCTCTGGCTGGTTTTGACTCAGGCCTTCACTGTAAATTGTTCGTTTCCTTCTGCTCTCTGACCTCCCGTCACCCACAGTGGAAGTCTCTGCTCACCGGTAACACCCGGCATCTGGCCCTCTCTGTTCCTTATTGTCTGATTGATGCAGAATCGCCAGCGGCCAACTGGAGAGGACTGAGGAGCGCACTCGTCTGGGGAAAGATGAAAGGGGAAGCGTCACTCGAACCTACCAGCAGGTAAGTCACTAGTGGAAGTCTAGTGCATTTCTGTCCTAGTTAATCGGCCAGCCAACGCACGCCCCCGACCTCCCCACTCTGTGGGTCTGGTTTGCCTGCCTTCGAAATATCAGACGCGGGGATCATGCACGGCGAATGGGACACTGAGGCTAAGCTAACTGCTTTGCTTGGCATGAGCATCACTTGCTGAATTCGCCCTGACGGACTGGTTTAAATAACACATGCGGTTGCTGTGTAGGACAACGGTGCTGTTTTGTACCGTGCTGAAGGACAGACTTAAAAGGAAGTGAATTAAAACAATGAAATACACAACAACATCCCTGTAGCGTGAAAAACAAGGATCTCTCTACATTAATGGAGTCACAGATTCATACATTCGGAGGCCGGAGGGGAGCGGTGTGATCATTCCACCTGGCCCCCTGTAGAGCACAGGCCGGAGAACGGCCCCAGAAAAATTCCTAGGGCAAATGTTTCAGGAAAACATCCCATCTTGATTTAAACAGAGTCAGTGATGGAGAATCCGCCGTGACCCTCCAGGAAATGGTTGCAGTGGTTAGCGACTCTCACTGTTAAAACTTCATGCCTCATTTCCTGTCTGATTGCGTCTGGCTTCAACCTCTACCCATTGGATGGTGTTAGACCTTTCTCTGCTCGACTGAAGAGCCCGTTATTAACTATCTGTTCCCGACGTAGATATTTACAGACTGGGATCAAGTCACCCCTTCACCTTCTCTTTGGTAAGCGAAATAAATTGAGCTCCTTGAGTTAACCCCAGAATCCCCAAGGTCATTATGTGCCCCAGAGAGAAACAGAGAAACATGAAAACTGGCCTCGCTATTATGAACCTCACACCAGAACACCACAGATTGATCTTGCAATCGCTAGCAAGGTCTGGGAATCGGTGACAGCATGGCCCCCTCTCAAAAAATTTTGGGAGAAGGGTGGGGAAAGCAGAGGGTCAATAAGATTCATTTCAACAAGAACCCAGTGAGGTCTCCCTTATTTCCAGCTCTCTGGGGCTCAAAGACAAGCCAACACCCCCGTGTTTCAAGGTTCTTGAAAGGTACTTACTTCCAGTCTGAGTGGAGGCAGGATTTATCTGAACTTGCTCGGACGATCCTGTCTGAATTAAAAACCGACAGGTCAATAAACAATGAAGCTTTTGAGGTGCCCACGTAGCCAAAAAGACATGCCCACGATAAAGCACTGTTCTTACTTGGCTGCTGTTGGACTCGGAGGGAACGGAATCGTTGCCAGACGCTCGCTCTTCCACCGGCAGGCTTCGGAGTATCTCCTGAGCTTGGCACACAATGGCTCTCAGCTCCTCCACAAACCTCTCCTTCTCACTCTCCAGCACAAAGTTATCTTCTACCTGATCGGGGGGGACCAACAACCAACAGTTCAATCAGCATTTCCCAAAGCGTGGGACTCGACAGCCAGGGGATTGGACAAGTACCTGAATTGTTCAGCAGATTTTCAGCTTTCACTTATTACAAAAGGCAGTCTCCCTAGCTCGCACTGCTGCAAAGGAATCTTCAGTAACGTGCCCAGAGTCTGCCTGACACAACAATGCTTGCCTGTGTCTGCAGAGAGCCTGAGCCAATTGCTCAGAGAGGTGGGAACTGACCAATTTCGCTGCTGGTCCAAGCATATTAGGAAAGAGAGGAACAGCTCATATTGGGAGCAATGCTGGCTGACAGCGGTTTGAAAAAGTGCTGGCTCACCAAAAAAGAGAACAGCCCTGAAGTGGCAGGTGAGGAATCGTGCGAATTTGTAGGTTTGACTCCCAACTCTCAGAACTCCAGGGACCCACAATGCACAGCAAGAAAAGTCCCAGAATGCACAGAGCCCAACAGTGAGGCAAAGCACCAAGGGAGACCTGTCTAGAATCCAGAGTCCAACGACTACCCCCACACACACCCCAATTTTGTAAATCTAGCCCTTTAACGCCCCCAACTGATGTTGTCGATTCGCTGACATTTTTCGTAATCTTCAGATTCAGCCTGACCCGCTTTTTTTGGAACGGACCAAAACAATCAGCAAGATGTAGCAAAACCAAGCCCTATATGGCTTATCAAAGGCTAAGGTGGCTCTGGGAACTAGCCCTAGGGTGTGGCCCTCATCACCCTCTCCCAAGATCACATACTGTCCACCTTGGAAGATCAGCCCAGGTATGACACAGAGCCCAGGTGAGAACCTCAAAGCTCACGGGCACGGCGACACAACGCACTAGACCAATCTCCCACCGCAGCGCAGCATCTGAGCTGCCCAGGATGGTGGGAAGACGTTCAAAAAGGAAGTCCAAAGGGTACGGCTGTCTGCGTGGAAGGAAAATTCGTTGTTTCCCTGGCTGGAAGGGACCATTGCGACTATCCAGTCTGACCTCCTGCACAGCACAGGCCCAAGAACTGCCCCGAGATCATTCCTGCTTGAACCAGACCAGATCTTTAAGGCAAACATCCCATCTTGACTGGAAGATTGTCAGGGATGGCGAATCCGCCACAGCCGGTGGTCAGTTGTTTCAATGGTTAATTTCTCGCACTGTTATTTCCAGTCTGAATGTGTCTAGCTGCAGCCTCCTGCCATTGGACTGTCTCAGAGCTTTCTCTGCTATTAAATATTTGTTCCCCAGGTGGAGCCATATAGACCGGGATCAAGTCACCTCTTCACCTTCTCTAAAGCTAAACAAATGGAGCAGCTGGAGTCTCTCACTCTAAGGCAGGTTTTCTAACCCCTGGATCCTTCTCATGGCTCATCTCTGACCCCCGCCCCCTCCCCGATTATCCACATTCTCCTTGAAGTGTGGGTGTGACACTCCACATTCTTTATAGAAATATGCTTGTAATATGAATCAGGCATAACTAAGATGTATTTTATGCAGGATGACTCATGTAAGGTATCATTGGAAAGGTTTGTCTGATTATCTGATTTGAAGGTGATTATCCAATTTGTATGCCTGTATCATTTCTGTATCTAAGGTTAGGGTGTGTGTACTTGGGAGACATCCACCAGACAACCGGCCTAGATGGGCCATTAGGAAGAAACAATAAGACTTTGAAGATACTAATCTCTGTTGCTGTGACAGTCCTAGGTCATGTGGTCCTGTCACCTGGTACTAAACACCATCTTAAACTTCTAGTGATTTTCCACTAAAAGGAGGGGGAGGTCACACCTCGGAAACAAAAGGTACCCGCCTGGTGCAAAATTCTATCGAAGGCTGGGAGGTAAAGCCATCGGCACTCTCCCCTCACTGCCTTCCTGCCCAGAGGAATGATTGTGGAAAGTACCTGAAGAGAAAAAGGAACTAAGCTGAAGGAAAGGCAGGGGCTGAGTCCAGACTAAGACAGGAGTCTAGTCTGTAAAGGGAAATAACTGGAACTCTGAGCTACAGAAACGCTGCATCCTGCCTAAATCAACATTTAGGGTAGGGAATTGCATTTTGTAACCTGTTTCTTTGGAATAACATAGCTTGCATGTTTTGTTTTATTTACTCAGTAATCTGCTTTGTTCTGTTTGCTATACCAGTAGTTAATAAATTTATTTCTTGTTTATTTCAAAACCCAGTTTGTGCAATTCATATGGGGGGGGGGGGGGAGAAGCTGTGCATATCTCTCTCCACATTGAGGGAGAGGGCGAATTTTTATGAGCTAGTGCTGTCCAGCTCTTTCTATACAGTGCAAGACAATATTATCTTGGGGGTACACTCCAGAGGGGAGGTGCACTTAAGTGCAGGGCAATTTCCTAACTGATTCTTCCCAAGTAGAGCTGATTTCAGTGTCTGTGTCTTTCTGCAGCTGGGCGTGTCCCAACCTGTGTGTGTGCACTAGAGGAGGCTTGAGGGCCTGGCACAGCAGGACAGGGTGAGGGAGCCCAGGCTAGTGGAAAGGTCGGGCTCAGTGAAACCCCAATATATCAGGTGGCATCCCAGAAGGGGGGTCCAACCTGTCACAGTGGGCACAAGAACTGGATGCAGTATTCCAGCATTGGTTGCACCAGGGCCAAATCCAGGGGTGAAAGAACCTCTCTGCTCCTATTCAAGATTCCTCTGTTTATGCCGCCCAGGACTGCATTATCCCTTTTGACCCTGGCGTCACCCTAGCAGCTTGTGTTCAGCTGATTCTCCCCCACGAGCTCCAAATCTTTTCCAGAGTCGCTGCTCCCCAGGAGAGGGTTCAAGCAAGCAGGGCGGCAGCTGGGGAAACTCACCATGTAATCAGCAATATCCTCGGGCGCATCTCCATCAGCATCAAACTTGAAGGTGACCATCTTGTTGTTGTGGGTCTCCAGCTGGCACTCGACCATATTATCCCCAGCCGCAGACACCTACGGACGTAAGCAGAACACCAGCATTTTGCAAGGGGACCCGATTCCAGGGGGGGAATCTCAGGGAGCAAGGGGAGGAACATTCTGCTTTTAAGACCGACTTCGGGACTCTGATCTACCTGGAGGCCTTCATCCCCTCCCCTGAGCCAAAGCAAGCCCCTAGTAGATTTCAGCGGCTGTGGATCAGGCCCCAAGACAGCCACATGAAAGTCCAAGAGGGCTGATTCCAAGGGCGGACATGGAAGAGAGAGAGCAAGCCTGATGGGGCTTTGAAGGACGGGCTCATGTGACGTTCAGGCCCTGCCAAGGTGGGGTAAAGCAACACAATACGGCTTTAACTCCACTGCCAGCCTCCTGAGCGTGGGCACCATCACATCAGCATAAAGGCGCTCTGGCCAGTCCCAGTGAGAGCAGCATCAATCAGACGGACCCGTTTCAGGCCTCGGGAGACTACACTGTTGTGAGGACGAGAACGGCCAAGGCCCGAACGACGGCAGGGAATTGATAAGGTGAGCTGTGACTGGGTGATCTCAGGAAGGTGAGCCAGCCCGCCTGCCCCCTTGCAGAGGAAAGTGACCTCCCAGCTCCCAAATCACCCCCCACTCCCCAAAAAAACCTTAGCCATAGCAAACTCAGGACAAAACCTGGGGAGTTAAAAATTCAAAAGCACCGAAGTGACTTAGGAACCTGCTTTCAAAAGACAGATTCACACATCCCAAGGCCAGAGGGGAGCGTTGTGATCATCTGGTCCGACCCCCTGGATAACACAGGCCCGGGCTGAACTGGAGCAGAGCCTTAGGAAAACAGTCCATTTCGAATTATACGAATCGCCCGTGAGCAAGACTCCCCCACCTCTAGGTGAGATGTCCCAGCGGTTCACTCCCCTGGCACCTTATTTCTGGTCTGAATTTAGATGGAGGAGGCCAATATTTGTTCCCCACCTAGATACTTCTAAACTGTGATCAGGTCAATTTCTCCACACAGAGAAGCTTGGAGGAACTAGGCAGCCCATGAGCACAAATCACTGAGGAATGTCGGATCTCCGCTGGGTTCTAATCCCTTCCTGCGGTGAAAGGTCAGCTGTCCTGAGTCACAGGTTGAATGCTCCCGGAGCCCGACTTTTACCCCCTTGCCACTACCAACCTGCAGCACAGTGAGCTGGAATTTGGTCCCTTTGTCCGGCCGGGGGCAGGACGCCCGCCTCTGTTTACTTCGGTCTTGTTTGCCGTTGCTGCTCATGGGCTCGTGTGCATTGGAGCTTTCCTTCAAAGCAGCCAGCTCGGGATTTAGCCTGGGAGCAGAGCAGGGAGAGAAGAAAAGCGTGAATGGATGAGCTCTCAGAACGGGGCTCGCTGCGGCAAACTGGATCAGTCAATCTTCCCCCAGGGGAAGATACAGGTTGACACATTTAGTTCCCTGCCCAAAGACTTGATTGTTTATTTGTTGTTTCCTGTCGTGGCCTCTCCTGGAGTCTTGTGGCAATGAGTTCCGCAGGCCAAGAGAGATGGGGAAATCGAATCACTTCAGTGGCCACAGCTGTGGAAGGCTCAGGCTCCTCAGACGGGTTAGACAAGCAGCGGGAAAGGGACAGGACTGTGTGTCTATCTCGATAATATCCCTCATTGTGGTGGGAGGTGAGCTGGGAGAAATAAATTGAAGGGGATTCTTTTATGGAGGTTTCTGGGACACACCGACCCAACAGTCCTCCAGCTGGCAGGATGGCCGGCCGACTGTCAATGCAGCCACTTGACGGGGCTGTGAACTGCAGCTCACATGTACTCCCGCCACACCCCAGATACGCACAGCACACGGGCAGAAAGATTGGATGTAGCACCGGGCTCAATTCCTTTCCCCCTTGCAACCCCCATGCTCTCGGATTAACGAGGAAGGAGACTCACCCTTGCAGCAAGTCTGGCTTTGGAGCAGCTATTTGGGCCTCAGGCACCGTGGCAGGCTGGGAAACCTGCCAGGAAACAGAGTTGTGAAACAAGTGAATTTCAGTCTTTCTCCAGGGACCGGCGGAGATGGGGCTATACCAACTGCAAGAGGAAGTGTTTGAGGAGACACGGAACAGTGCAATGGGACGCATAGCTGGACAAAGACCAGAAGAACATAAGACAGGCACAAGGACTACCGGGATCAGGGATCAATTCAGGCTGGAAATTAGAACACTGGGAGGGGACTGAATTTGGCTTCAGAGCAGAGGAGCAGGATCACAGACGGGGCGCGGGAGAATGAGACGAACTTGCCAGGCTCTTACAAAGCTAGAATTTCCCTCTGGGAGCAAGAAGCAGCCACCAGGTTACAGAAAACTGCTGGTTAGGGAAGAGTTTGGTGGGTTTTCAAACCCAGCCGTTGTGAGGGAGGCAAGTCTGCGAGGTTTGGAAGAGAGCTGTAAAGCGTTCCAAACAGAGCTAGGAAAAGTAGCCGGGATCGCCAGCTATTCCCAGGCGGAGGAAGCATGCAGGGGTGAAAGAGTGACCCAGAGCTGAACACGGGAGGGACACCTGACACCACTTTCAGAGCATGACCCCATGAGGAACCATTCTCCGGACACTGGCTAAACCTGGAGACTGGACGGAAACTCAGAAAGGGTCACCCACCAGGGAGGAGGCTTTCGGGGTCAATCAGAGACCTTCGGGCTTGTCCAGGGCAGGAAACTGGCTGGCAAAATCTCAACTTTAAAAAAGGCTTCCATGATTCCAAAATAAGAGCGTTGCCCTGGTGTCACTCCACTGGTGGAATTACCATGGCATTTCCCCATGTCAACGAGCTGTCGGACTCTGCAGGGACTGCTCGCAAGCTCTCAGCCTGGCTGCTTCACGCTGGCCCGGGAGTTCATAGACCCCAAGGCCAGAAGAGACCACTGAGCTCATGCAGTCTGACCTCCTGTATAACCCAGGCCAGAGACCTGCCCCACAATCCTTCCTTCTGACCTACAGCAGAGCTCTTCTACAAACCTCCCGTCTCAACTTTAAAATGGCCAGTGATGGGAGAATCCACCACGACCCTTGGTAAACTGCTCCAACGGTTAATTATGCTCACCGTTAAAATCATATGCCTTATTGTTCATTTGAGTTAGTCTAGTTTCAAAGGCCAGCCATTGCCCCATGTTAGAGCTTTCTTTGCTACACTGAAGAGCCTATTATTAAATATTTGTTCCTCGCATGGATACTTCTAGACTGTGACCAAGTTACTTCTTACCATCACCCAGCACGAGGGAAGGGCTCTCTGTGGCTCTCCCCCACAGTTCCCAGCCCGGCCGGTGCTGTTTCAGTCTGAAGCCGGGTCACATACCTGCTCGGGCCCCGGCCCATGCTGTGGGTGCAGCTGGGGGCTCAGGGCGGGCTGTGGGGAGGCGGTGAGCAGAGGGCTGGCTGCCGGACTCTGGTACACCCCCGACTCTGCTGCTAACAGGACGTAGGCTGGCTGCTCGGGGACGTGCACCGCTGCCTGCTGCACTCCATAGGCTTGTTCTGAGGAGGGCGGCTGCAGCTGCTCTGGCCTGGGCGACAGGGGCTGGAGCAAGGTGGGGACCGTGGCCAGGAGCGGCTGTGGCTGGAGAGAAGCCTGCTGAGGTAGCGGCTGCATCGCGGGAGGCGCAAAAGTGGAGGGCTGCGGCGGGAGGAACGGGACCGCCGGCGGCGCTGTCTGTTGCCCTTCGCCCGGCCCTTGCGCCAGGGGGTACCCCAAGCCGCTGCTGTCCTGCTGGGAGAGCGCCACGGGCATCTGCTCTGTGCTAGCCTCCTGGCTCAGCGCCCCAGGAGACGGCACAAAGGCTGGCTGCTGCGGATCTGCCAGCTGGCTCAGAAACGTCACCTGCTCCACCCGGTACGGAGGCTGCCCCGGGTAGAGGGGCTGAACCGGGTACCCCGGCAGCTCCGGGTACGCATACACCACCGGCTCTGCCGGCTGGGCTGGGCAGGGGGGCTGGTCAGTGTAAGGACCCTGCAGGGGATATGCTGGCTGCAGCCGGTGCGGGGCCTGCAGCGGGTAAGCCAGCTGCTCTGGGGCCGGGACAGGACACATGCATTCCACCTGCTGGTCTGTCTCCTGCACCAGCAGCCCCTGCGGCTGCTCTAGGGTGCCTGTGTGCAGCACAAACTGCGGCTGCTGAGGGGGCGGGTAACCCGGCAGCTGCAACTGCATGGGCTGCGCTGGCTGGGCCAGGGAAGGCTGCAGTAAGGAGTCTGGCTGCATCACAGCATACTGCTGGGGCGGCTGCATGGCGGGAACCTGTTGGGGCTGCTGCATGGGTGCAACCGGCTGGGGTTGCTGCATCGATGCAACCTGCTGTGACTGCTGCATGGGCGCAGTCTGTTGAGGAATTTGCTGCGGCTGCTGCATGGCGGGAACCTGTTGGGGCTGCTGCATGGGCGCAACCGGCTGGGGTTGCTGCATTGATGCAGCCTGCTGCGGCTGCTGCATGGCAGGAATCTGCTGCGGCTGCTGCATGGCAGGAATCTGCTGCATCGGTGCAGTCTGTTGAGGAATTTGCTGTGGCTGCTGCATGGACATCACCTGCTGGGACTGCTGCATGGCAGGAACCTGCTGCATCGATGCAACTTGCTGCAGTTGCTGCATGGCTGGAATCTGCTGCATGGGTACAGTTTGCTGAGGAATTTGCTGCGGTTGCTGCATGGACACCACCTGCTGGGGCTGCTGCATGGCAGGAACCTGCTGGAGCGGCTGCATCGATGCCACCTGCTGCGGCTGCTGCATGGGCGCCCCAGGCTGCCCAGCCAAGGAAGCAGGCAGGAGCTGGGCCATCCCCTGCATGTTGCCAACAAACTGGGCCGAGGGCTGGTTCTGCGGTGCCAGGCTGTGACCGAGGGTCAGGAAGCCAGAAGCCGGGTCGACCTCAGCTGCAGTGGTGGTGGCCATCTGACTCCCGGTCCTGGTGGTGGAGTCCAGCTGCGCGCTGGCTGCCGGCATGGCCTGGGGAGAGGCAGCTGTCAGGATGGCCTGGGACACCGCCATGACTGATGGCTCCAGCACCTGCCCCTCAGCCCCGTAGGGCAGTTGTGACTCGAGGTGCTGGTGGCAAAGAAAACATGGGGCTTACAGGTGCGGAAACAAACTAATCACAGCCCAGCCCCCCCCCCCCCCCCCAAAACAACCTAGGCTCTGTCCACGTCTGCACTAATGCATTCTGGGAAAAACAATCTGAGCGGATACCCCATAGAGCAGTAGGAGGGCATTCCCAGAGCATCTCCAGCAGCAATGCATTCTGGGGGTGAGACATGGACGCAGCCTGCTGCACAGCATCGTAAGAGCGGCCACACTGGGTCAGACCGACGGTCCATCTAGCCCAGTGTCCTGTCTTCCGACAGTGACCAGTGCCAGGTGCCCCAGAGGGAATGAACAGAACAGGTAATATCAAGTGATCCATCCCCTGTCACCCATTCCCAGCTCCTGGCAAACAGAGGCTAGGGACACCATCCCTGCCCAGCCTGGCTAGTAGCCATTAATGGACCTATCCTCCAGGAACTTAGCTAGTTCTTATCTATCATGAGGAGAGCAAGGCGCTCCGGGAAAGACAGGCAACATCAAGGGATGCAGGGGCGGGATACTGTCTGGCTCAACATCTTCAGTTTACAAAAGCAAATGGCTCAGGCCCCCAGCCAGAAACCTGGGGAAAGGAATGGCTGCCCGGAAATTGGATTCAGCAGAGCCCTGCTCAAATGCCTCAGATCCCTCATAGTAACGGGGCTCTCTCTTTGGATCCCCTTGCGCTGATCCTCCAATGTGCGTCCAGCCCTTGGGACAATTATATTCCCCCAAAATAAGTTGCTTTTGGTCCAGTGCCCCAGAGGCTCCGATTTTGGCTAAGCAGGGTGGAAGCAGGTTGGTGCTTGTACAGGAGGTCCCTGCCCATGAAAACACCAAGTGGTAGAGGAGGCAAGTACTAAGTCGAAGCAGGGACGACTGGGGACGGCCCGTCCCTCTTATGACTTTTAACCACAATTGGGGCCGGTCAGGAATTTCCCCACAAATTTTGCCAGATTCAGGGAAACTCAAACTTTCCAAGGGAAAGGATCCTCTTTTGGTGGGGAAGGTCCCTCGGGGCCAGACAGAACCCCACCCCAGAGGCGAGGGAATCACCTAGAATGTGGGATCCTAGATCCAAGTCCCTGAACCAGGAAGGACTTGACCCTGGGGTTCACACATCCCTGTTCAGTGCTTTCCCCACCTGCCAAGGATTTCTCTGCACCAGCCACCCCTCGTGTGTCAGCTGCACCACACAGGACACACCAGACGTACCATTATCGGCGTGAACTGCGGGACCGCGCCAGGTGACACCTGGGGCTGGGGAGCTGCCGGTGGAGCCAAGCTGGGGGTGGGTAGAGCTGGGGGTAAGATCTGCAGGTGGCCCAGGTTCTGCTGCTGCACCTGCTTAATTAATTAACGACAGTGACAAATAAAGAAGCTTGTTAATGACAAAGCACCACCGGACCCCACCTGTGCTCTCCCCGACTCGGATCTGCTGCACCCTCCTACCTGGGTCTCTGTAGATGCTTGGCTCCCCTTTTAGGGGACATCTACACTGTACGCAAAGCCGGGATCTGTAGGACACGGCTTGTGGACTTGGTGCAGCCAAGCCCCTGCTCACGCGTCCACACTGCCTTGGAAGCCCGGGTTTCGCAACTGAGCTAATGCGCTATGCAGCCCTTCTGACTTGAGCTGCGTTCACACGGCCGAAGGACAGGGCTTGGATGCGGGTCATGGCCGGGCTCAGGGCCTGACCCACCCCACTAGCAGGGTCCTATGGCCCGGGCCCTGAGCATTCGCTGACCCAAGAAAGACTGATTTGTGTGTGGCGGAAGCGGGGCTTGAGCTCAGCCCTATCTCAGAGCCTGGGTTTGGTGCAGACATGCCCTAGGAGTCCCAGACACCCTGCCCCCCCAGGCCACAGCGTGGTTTTGAACTTGATGGGAGGCGGTTCAGTAACGCGCCGGGGGTCCCTCGCACCAAAGATAATGGGTAACCTGCAACCCTACCCCCTGTAACGCCTCCAACTCTGACCCACTCCCCAGAACCCCCCAAACCCTAATCCCCAACACCCCATCTTCATGGCACCCCCAAACCTGTCCCCTACAATCCCTTCTCATGGCCCCTCACGACTCAGGAGTCGGATCCTAGGACCCTGCTAGAAGGGTGGGTCAGAGCCTGAGTCCCAGTGAGCCAGTGCTGAGCGCTGAGATGCTCCGAAACCCAGCAAAGCGAGTGGGTCACAGAGCCCAAGTGGGACTGTCTACACTGCAATTTGTAATGCCGCAGCACCAACCCGAGTCTGTCAGTCCTGGCTCTGGGATTCACTGCAGTGGGCTGGGGAGATGTACCTTTAACAGCCTAGCCTGTGGGCCTTGCTCAGAGTCAGCAGATTTGGGGTAGGGAGGGGATTTCCCCCAGGTCAGGGTTTTTGGGGCGTGGGACAATCCAGGCGCTGGAGACACCGTTCTGTGGCCTTACACGCTGCGCGTGGCTAAGGATGCCCTTGGTGTACCGTACAGTCATGGACCCTAGGATGACGGCTGGTGATCCGAGGAGGCACCTTACCCCAGCAATCTGCTGATAGTGTCCCATCACCGGCTGCGATGGGTAGAGGTGTCCCTGAAGGCCGGCTTCCACCGGTGGGGGGATAGAGGCCTGTGGAGGGCAGCCCATCACCTGCTCCGTGTAGGGCAGGCTGTGCTGTCTGGAGGCATCCGATAGAATCACTGACCCAGCACTCTTCTCCGACAGGCTCTCGGCTGTATGGGGAGGCAGGAAAGCCCTGTCAGTCACTCAGAGCATTGACAGGCGTGTCCTTTCCTAGCAGGTGCAAACGCTGAGTTAACACGCAACGGGGTGGGGGAGGACACAGGAACCAAAGACTCACTAGGTCCCACTCCAGACCTATGTCTTCCTCACCACCATCACCAAGTTCTTGTCTAGAGCGCGTCTCCAAGCACTTTACGGAGCAGGGAAAACATGCCACTGAGACCGGCAGGATCACTGGGCAGGGACTAGAAGCCGGCTGTTCTTGGCCCCCGGGGTAGCGCGCTACCCACTAGGCCACACTGCCCATAGACTCACATCTAAGGCTGCTCAGCGAGGTCAAAATGACAGTAAACGATGGCTGCTCAGAAAAACCAGGGCAATTATCACCAGTCTCCAGGAACTCCAAGAGGCACCAACTGCCCCAATCCCCACCCCTCCAAAACATCTCCCTGCCACCCCGAGGAGGGGGCGGGACTGTGGTGGCGTGGGGACCAAGTCATAGCATGGGGGGCACAGAGCGCGCCACCCTCAGGAGGTGGGGAGAAACCCTTTCTGCTTTCTGCTTCGTTATCGCTGTTGTGAGGGCAGAGTCTGGGCCGGGAGTTAGCCCACCCCGGGACTACAGATCACCACAAGGCCCCTCCCTCCTTTACCTCAGGCTGGGGCTACCCCTAAAGATGAGCTCCACCAACACGCCCTGGTAGTGTGAACGCAACCCCAGCAAGACCTGCGATGGCTCAAAGCCGGAGGCAGCTGTGTTCTCAGGGTGTTTTTTTCACCTTCCCCCGAAGCATCAGGGATGGGCCTCAGCTGGAGAGGGACACCGGACTGAGGGGAATGGGGCTCTTTGCAGCTGCCGGTTGGCAGGTCTGGCTCCCAGGCTCGGGGTGGCCAGACGTGGGATGGGGGAGGCAGGGACGTGGTGGTCCCTCTGCAACATGGGATCATCGGGGCACATCTCAGCGAATCAATTCCCTTCTATAGCAGGCGAGCGGGTGACGTTTTGGTCTCTCCCGAAGAGACTAAAGGGGTCAGGGGGCTGGTGAAATTGACTAGCCACCCCTGTCGCTCCATGTACCTGCCAAGGAAGACTGGTGCTGAGTCTGCTGCAGCAGCTGCTGCCGGACGTGCTGGTCCACCTCCGTCTCCTCCCACTCGGCACCCGCCGGTGGGGACGGGCCAGTCAGCGAGACGCCCTGGGGCAGCAGGGCCCCACCAGCTGCCTTGCACTGGGCTTCCCTCTGTTCCTCCAGGCAGCCGGCTTGCCGCCGCTCTCGGGTCTTCTTGATCAGGGCCACACGGTCCCGGATGGACTTGGCCACAGCTTTGGAGTCGCTTTCGTGGAAGAATCCGGATTTCACCTGCAGAAAGGGGATCAAGATAGGAAAGACGAGGAATCGCGCCTGTTCTCCAGATACCCTGGAAAGACGAGGAATCGTGCCCGCTCTCCGGATACCCCACGAAAGCCTCTCTCGGGTTGTTAACCAAAAGCATGCAGCTTTTAGCTCTCCACCCTTTTACGGGAGAACTCCTTGGAGGGCTCAGAGATGTGGATCAACCACTCTCCCCGTTCTCAGGCAAGAGGCATTGCTGACTCTCATGATATCGGACCCCTGACGGAACCAGGATTTCACGTCAATGTTTCTTCATAAAGACCCAGCTGCCGGAGTCATGTGATTTGGGGAGAATGTCACCTTTCTTTTTACCAAAAAAAAAAAAAAAAAAAACTTTCTAGCCCTCGGGACTGAGGAGAAAATCTTGCAAATGGGACGTTCTAAAGGCTCAAAAGCTAGAAAACAAATAACAAGACCCCACATTTCAAAAGAGATTTTTCAAGCCACATCTCACGATTTTGGGATGACACCTAATTTATAATTTCAGAACATTTGGGGCCAGCAACGCCATCTTTAACGAGGCCTTGTCGACGCACATTCATCCAATTGGTTAGGGGAAAGCGCTCTTATTTCCTCTTCACAACTGACCTTAAAAAAAAAAAAGCCCAGCCTGTTGCCGGCACAGCCTTCTGTGTGGATTCTCCTGTTTCAGTTTAACTAAAAGCGTATGTCTTGGCTGCAGTCGCAAAGTGTGATTGCCGCACACCTGAGCTAGCTTTGATGCTCACTGCAGGGTAGGCATGCCCTGAGTGGCTTTAAATTCATATCACGTTACACCTGTGACAGACGCAAGACCTTGGAGGAGAGGAAATGTCCGAATTGATCCCACAGTGCAGGGCGGTAGGGGATATTTGTAGGATATTATATCAACAAGTGGTCTATGGACCTTTGTGTTCCTGATCCTCCTGAACTGGGAATCACTAGGAGGGTGATGAAAGCAAATCCCCAGTCCCGGTTATATAGATACCCCGCCCTTTGACACTCTGCATCTCTTGGAGAGACAAAGACCTAGGAGATGTCCCCAGCCTGAGCTGGCTTAGAGACAAAGCTGCTCCCCAGTGAGGCTCTGCCAGACCCCCATGGTCCACCAGGACTCCACACGGACAGCCACTGGGTGAGTGTGTCGACAGCTTGTGGCTTCGTGAGAGCATTTCTCTCAAATGTTCCAAGCCAATCCCCAGGGCGCTTTGCCACAGCAGACATGGCCAGAGACAGCAGGATCACCAGTGTCAGCATGAGAGAAATGTTAATAAAGTTTCAAATAGTTTGAATTTAAAAAAAACAAAAAAACAAAAAAAACAGTTCCCACTTCTCAACCAGTCGGGTTTCAGACACATCCCTGATGGCACGAACCCGGCTTGATCTCCATCCTTCCCGGAGTCGCCCAGGAAGGGCGGGCGAGACACGACTTCGGCATGGAAAATACAAGCAGAGCCGAACAACGGTAACGCTTCCGGACCTACTTAGTTATTAACGTGCACTCAGAAAGCGCCTGGATCCCCTCCAGCCCCACTGTGCAAACAGTGAGAGACAGCCCCTGCCCCGACGAGCTCCCACATAGACAAAGGGAGGGAGGAGAGACAGTGGCACAGGGAGCTGCAAGTAGGAGGTGTCCGTGCGAAGCGCTCACCATCTCGCACGCCACTTCTTCGGGGACATCCGACTCCAGGTTGAAACTGAACTCGATGGCTTCGTTGTCCTTGTGCTTCCCCTTCAGTTTCTTGGGGTCTTCCACCCACAGCCTCAAGGCCAAAGAAGAGCTCAGCCCGTCATCGTCCTCCGCCAGCTCCACCCGCAGCCCCGTGTCCTCCGCAAAGAAGGCATGGTTCAAAAGGTCTTTGATGGACAACCTGATGGTGAGAGGTGGGGTGGGGTGGGGGTGGATTAGGGGTCCATCGCCAACAGGGCATTGACATCCTGGTCAGTGACCACTGCAACCACACAATTTCTAGCCTCTTTGGGGCCACCCAGTCTGTCCCCGCCCCGGTACCCAGGTAAAGCAAGGAACCACTCAGCCGACCGGGATGGGGGTGGGGGGAGCGAGAGTCTGACTGTGGCCTCAGATGCTTTGAACTGGAGCCAGAGCGCTCGAGTGATCTACCTCAGGGTCACAGAGCAAATCACCAGGAGAACCAGGAATAGGATCCAGGCGTCCTGGCTCCCAGCCCCCCTGCTCTAACCCACTAGACCCCACTGCCCTCCCAGAGCCGTGGAGAGAACCCAGGAATCCTGGGTCCTAGCCCCCCAGTTCCCCTGCTTGCTCTAACCACTGCACCCCCCACACCAGGTGCAGGTAATAGAATCCAGATGTCCTAATTCATCTCTACACAGCACTGCCATTGTGGTCAGGAGACCCCGCAGCTTTTCCTTTTTAACTTTACTTCAAACAGCCCAATGGCCCCCCCACACGCAGTACGGCAGCTGCTCAGCTGCTGACTCAGGAAAGCACAGTAGCGCGCGCTCGAGTCCCGGGGACTTCCTGAATCAGACTCGGAGGCCGCAGCCAAGGCCAGCCCATCGGCCCTGCGACAGGCATCTCTGAGCTGGTGCCTCGCAGGGAGACGCACCTTTCAGATTTGTTCTGCCGGATGCACCCCTCAATGATCTCTTTCACCTCCGGGTCAGTCACCTTGTTGAAACTGGCGGGTTTAATGCCCTGGAAGAGAAGGGAATTGTTATGGTGTGCCGAGCGGCACCAGTCCCTTCCTTTGAGCCAGCTAGCTGGGAGCAGGGTGTCTATGACCTACTGCCAAAGGGTCTGCCTCTGCACACCGAAGTTTCATAGATCCCATGGATCATGTTAGACCTTTCTCTGCCAGACTGAAGAGCCCATTCATAACTTTTGTTCCCTAAGTTAGTATTTGTGTGACTGAGTCTCCACAGCCCCTTCTCTCGGTTAAGCCAAAGAGACTGAGCTCCTTGAATCCCACTTCCAACCCTTCCGTCATTCTAGTGGCTCTTCGCTGAGCCCTCCCCGATTTATCCACATCGTCCTTGAACTGTGGGCACCAGACTTGGACACAGGATCCCAGCAGCAGTCGCACCATTGTAACGGAACCTTCTTGTAAACGACTCTTTTGGCCGTTTGTTCCAGTGGTCAGCCGCCCTCACTGGTAAAATGTGCAACATTTGCAATTGAAACATGTCTGGCTTCAGTTCACAGCCCCTTGGGTCTTGTTCTCCTCTAGCTCAAAGAAACCTTTCGTATCCGGGCTTCTCTCCGCGGGAAGGTGCTCACACACGGTAATCGAGTCACCTGCCGCTCTTCCTCTTGAGGAGCTAAGCCCTCTTTCCTTCTCTGACTGTGAGGCATTTCTTCCAGCCCTCCAATGGTTTTCTGCACCCTCTCCAATTTCTCAACATCCTTTTTAAAAACGGGGACACGGAAACTGGATGTATCGTTCGGTGTCAGGCTCACCAGTGCTGTTTACAGAGGTAAAATCACCTCTCCTGTGGACTGCGATAGACCCATCTCCCACCCTGGCCATCAGATAATCTAGCCTGACCTTCTGTACAGCGCAGGCTGTCGAATTTCATCCAGTTAGTCCTCCTGTGAGCCCAGTAGCAGGGGTTTAATAACAGGGACCGCACTGGTACAGTTACAAAGTGTGGCTTCGATTACTGCTATTCCATAGGGGAAATCACATGTATATTATATTTATGCTGCTACCTCAATCAACCAACCTACTAAATCTCATCAAGAATATTACCAGCTTTGTCTGACAAGCCCCATTGTCCATAAAACCATGGGGACCGGCATGAATTATATTCCGATCCTTTCATTCTTTATCAACTGAATCCCGTGTCAGGGACTGATGCCAGGCGAATGTTACCCAAGTCATCCCACTGGTTCTTTTGGAATATCGGCATGACATGAGCACTTTCTCAGTCTTCTTGAGCTTCCCTGCTATTTCCAAACTGGAAGACATGTCTAGTGGGGTTAGTCCCAGGGCTGGGGCTACACAATATTGTCATTAACAACATGGATAACAGACTGGAGAGCGGTTTTATAAAACCTGCGGATCACACCAGGCTGGGAGGGGTTGCTGGCACTTTGGAGGGCAGGATTAGAATTCAAAACGACCTGAACAAATTGGAGAATTGGTCTGAAATCAACAAGATGAAATTCACTAACAACAAGTGCAGAGAACTCCACAGAGGAAGGAAAAATCAAATGCCCAACTACAAGATAGGGACGAACCGGCTGGGCCATCGTACTGCTGAAAAGGATCTGGGGTATTAAGACTTGGCCCCGCTGAGCCCTAAACTGGAGTACTGTGTGGGGTTCTGGGAGCCGCTCCTTAGGAAAGACCTAGACAAACTGGAGACAGTCCAGAGGAGAGCAACAAAAATGAACAAAGGTTTAGAAAACCTGACATTTGAGGAACAGTTACAAAAATTAGACGTGTTTAGTCTTGAGAAAAGAAGACTCGGGGGGACCTGATACCAGCCTTCAGATCTTTTAAGGGCTGTTATAAAGTGGATGGTGACCAAAGGAGACTGAGGTTAGATATTAGGAAAATTCTCATTATAAGGGTAGTTCAGATCTGGAAAGGCATCGCTGTTTTTAAGGACATGGCTGTCAGGCATGGTCTAGCTTTACTTGGTCCCACCTCAGAGTAGGGGGCTGGACTTGAAGATGTCTCAAGATCCCTCCCAGCCCAACATTTCTATGATTCAAAGACACATTAAAAATTAGCATCAGCCAGGGGGAGATCTCTGCCAACTCTTTAAAGCCAAGAGAGACCATTATGGTCACCTAGTCTGAGCTGCCTCACACAGAGGGTAGGACCCAGCCAGTCCCTTCTGTCAACTCCCTTATCCCACTCTGAAACTTCCAGCCTCTACTTTAAAATGCTAAAGCAGAACCTCTGAGCTTTACATAATGTGGAACCGGGGACAAATCCATTCTAATCCATTTGACTCATCCTTTCATCCACACTTGCCAGCCCTTCCACCCTCTGTCACAATAATTACACGTGACTTTGCTGAGAATTAACTGGGTCTGTTTGTCCGCTGATGTTGTTTTCTCCTGCTCTGGACAGGTTCAGTAAACAGGGCTTCAGAATGTATTGAAAGAATTGGCAGCTTCCATTCCCCAGTTCTAGAAAAGCAACTTTGATACACCTCTACTTAAAACTCTTTCTAACACAGAGTCACGTCCACTGAATGCATCCGATGAAGCGAGCTGTAGCTCACGAAAGCTTATGCTCAAATAAATTTGTTAGTCTCTAAGGCGCCACAGGTCCTCCTGTTCTTTTTGCAAATACAGACTAACACGGCTGCTACTCTGAAAAGAGTCACGTTAGCATCCTTCCACCTTTTTATGCATATTAAGGAGAGGCCTGGAGCGTGTGTGTGTGTGAGAGAGAGTGAGATACACAGACAGGGATTAGGGCCCCTATCATTCTGCGTGCTGCACAGCCCCTGACTAGGTCCGGGGTCCCTGTCGTGCCAGACGCTGCACAGATCTGCCCCCCCTTCCCCCAGCCCACCCCAGCTACGATCAGGTTCCCCATTTTTTCCCACACACACTCCCCAGAGGGTCAAGATTTCCCAGTGACTAGCGTTTGGGGCACTTAGTTTGAGACAAGGACGCCGCTCAGCCTCCACAGACTGAAACCGAGCCTGGGGATGTGGCACGTTACGGTCGGTACACAATTTTGGAAGCGACTAGCGTGTTGCGCCCCGAGACCAATGCGGAAAGGGCACTACTCAGCCGGCGGCTCCAAACAGACTAAGTTTAGCCTCCGATTTGCACAGCAAGGTTAGTGCTGAGTAATAGGCTTACCCACCCTAATCTGCCAATGTACAAGTTTATGCTAACGAGGAAGTTAAATTTACACCTACGCTGGTGACTTTGCGATAGATCTGGGCAGCGTTCTGGCACTCAGAGTAGGGGTACTCGGAAGTGGCCATTTCCAGCATGCACATCCCGAAAGCATACACGTCCACCGACTCATCGTAATGCTCTTCATACATCTCGGGGGCCATGAACTCGGGGGTGCCTGTGGAGGGAAAGAGGGATGTCTTTCAAAAGCTTCTCTGATCTGCAAGCCTTTAGTCAGGCAAGACAAGCTGCCACACCACATCCCACACATCAAACTCCTCCTGGACGTTTTTCTTGAATTCCCACCTCCCCATCAGCAGGAACAAAAGAGGTGGAATGAATAAGTCAAGGTACCACCTTGCTGATAGCTTCATAGGGTATCTCTGCACAGTATGCGGAGACATACACAAGCTAAGCTTTGAACTAACTGCATGCTACAGACGCTGCAAGTTCAAAGCCCGGCCCAGCCAGAATTGGTTGCATGAACACAGGCTTGTTGCTGCAATTTGCCAGTGATAGGTGAGGATTTTATTTTGCCATACTGCAGCGTGAGTGGAGGAGAAGAGCCAGAAAGATTGCTAAGTGATTCGGAAAAGGACATCTGAGATTGTACGTGACGTGTGGGATACACTGTGGGGTTTGCGGTGGTTGAATGCCATCAGGCTGTTTTAATACGGCTAACAGTAGATACATACATCTAGGAACAAAGAATGTCCACCACACTGATAGCGACTTAGAAAGGAGGTCAGTGTGGTTATCCCCATTTTATAAAGGGGGAATCTGAGGCAGAGAGTGGGGAAATGACTCCCCCCCGCACCATGCCAAATCACCCCGGGCCGGCTGCTTGAGCAGGGAGCGCGCCGTTGTCGTACCAATGACGCTCTTAGCAAATGACGTGCGCATCAAGGTTGCCAGGCCCAGGTCGCCGATCTTCACTGAACCCGTGGGTCCCGTGATAAAGATGTTGTCGCATTTCAAGTCCCGGTGGATGATGGGCGGGGTCCGGGTGTGGAGGAACTGCAAGCCTTTCAAGATCTGTCGGCACCAGCTCCTCAGGACCTTTGGTTTCATGACTTTGAATCGCTTTAAGTACCTGGGCAGGGGGAGAACCATGGACTGGTCAGAGAGGAGGAGAGGCTTTACCAACACAGCCTTTGTCCATAGTGGGGATGCACGCAGAGCGCCGAGCAGCCTGCTGAGACAAGGCGAGTGTGGTAATACCTGCTGTCTGTCTGGGAAAGGAGCTACAGGCCTCACTGTGCGGGACACTGGAAAGACCTAGCTATGTGCCAAGACCAAGTCTCTCGTCTTTACGCCAACCCCAAGGTGTCAACCCTTCTCAAAGCAAGTCCCCCATCCCATACCTGGACTAGCCAGCAAGCCGGTAATAACCGTGGGGTACCTGGGTTTGACTCCCTAGGGGGTCTCTCTGCAAGCTGGCATAGACTCGCTCATCATCTACACTTAAGAGTCATTAAGGGATAATGCTAAGACCATCAACTCTAACGACTCTGGCTCAGGAAGGCTGACGCTGAAGGACACGGAGGCCATGTCGAGACACCACAAAATTAAGTCGACCTAACTGACGTCAGCATAGAGCCGCCGCAGTAATTACATCACTTGTGCATGTCAACACTTTGCTCTTCATGTTGGTGGTGTGCATCCTCACCAGGCACACTTGTCTCGATTCAACTGTCACCGTGGGGCACCGTGGGATGGCTTCTCAAAGCCGGCAACGGTCGACGTACGCAACGCAGCGTTTACACTGACGCCGTGTCAACCTAACTTCATCAACCTTGACTCTGCCGCTCACAGAGGTGGCGTTATTAATTAGCAGGCAAGTTACGTCAGTGGGAGTGAAATTTTAGGGTAGACACTGCAGAGTTAGGTCAACATCAGCTGCCTTCCATCGATCTAACTCTGTAGTGTAGACCAGGCCAGAACTCCGGCAGGGTTTAAAAAGACCAGACCGAAATAAGACTCATGGCAGATGAAATTCAATATCGGTAAGCAACAGAAAAAATCATCCCAACCATACATACAAATGAAGGGGTCTAAATCAGCTGTTGCCTCTCATGAAAGAGATCTTGGAGTCATTGTGGATAGCTCTCCAAAAACATCCACTCAACGTGCAGCAGCCGTCAAAATAGCTAACAGAATGTTAGGAACCATGAGGAAAGGGACAGAGAATAAACCAGAGACTATCATAATGCCACTATATAAATCCATGGCAGGCTCACACCTGGAATACCGGTCACCCCATCTCAAAAACGATAGATTAGAATTAGAAAGGGTCCAGAGAATGGCAACAAAAATGATTCAGGGGTGGAACAGCTGCCATATGAGGAGAGATTACAAAGACTGGGACTGTTCAGTTTAGAAAAGAGACGACGTGAAGGGGGGTATGACAGAGGTCTGTAAAATCATGACTGGTAAGGAGAATGTGACTGCGGAAGTGTTATTTACCCCTGCACAGAACACAAGACTAAGGGGCAACTATGTTAAAACTCAGCAGGCCTGCACCAAGTATGACTGAAAGCAGGGAGAGGAGATAGACAGACTTACGTCTTTAAGGTGCCAGAAGTCATCAGCTCAGTGACTAACACAATGCATTTCTTCCCCTTCACCGTGGACTCCCAGGAATCATAAAACCGGACGATGTTCGGATGCTGTAGGCCTTTTAGCATCTCTGCTTCTTCCTTAAACCTCTGCTGTTCTGCTTTGGTTAGCTTCCTGTCCTGGAACGGGGAGAACATTTGGGGAAGGGGGAATAAAGCAGATTCACTTGTTACTCCCGACAGTCACAGCTGAATGACTGTCTAGCTATTATACTGTGGCCGCACCTTGGCGCAAAGCCGCAAAGGTATTTAGACATTTAACTCCCTTGAGATAGACTCCAGGAGCTCAATCTATTTCACTTAGCCACGGCAAGGTTATGGGGTGACCAGATTATGTGGGGAACACAAGGGTTCGAATGGGCTCTTCAATCTAGCAGACAAAGGTCTGACACAGTTTGATGGCTGGAAGTTGAAGCTAGACAAATTCAGACTGGAAAGACGACGTAAATATTGAACCAAGTGGAATCCACCGCTGGAGCAGAGTACCCAGGGTGGCAGTGGGGTCTCCAGCATCAGCAATTTTTAAATCAAGATGGGATTTTTTTAAAAGGAATTATTTGGGGGCAGACCTATCGGCTGCATTATCCAGGAGGTCAGATTAGACAAGCACAGTGGTCCCTCTGGCCTAGGGCTCTATTCATCTGTTTGTCCCTTTTCGTCTACAAATCTAGGAAACCCTCTGGTGAGCTTCTTCTTCCCTTGAAAGTGCATGAGCGTAGCTGTGTGGACGAGGGGGGCGGTATCCTTGTACCAGCAGAAGCCCTAATGGGTAGGCAGTTATACTGGTACAGTAAAGGGAAGAGCTAGCCTGGGAGAGTGAAAACGTTACAGCTTTTTTGTACAGACAAGGCTTCAGTGAATACATTTTTGCCAACTCAGGCGACGAACTCGGCTCTTTAAGGCAGGGGACCATATCTACCTACATGTAAAATGCCCATAAATCACAACTAGGATGATGCTTTTTAGGCAACAGTTTTAGGGTCATAAAATAGATTCATAGCATCTAGTCTGCCCTTTTGTGTGACACAGGCCACCAGGCTTCCCTGAATTAATTCCCAGTTGAACTAAGGGATTTTTTCTAAAAGATCTGCTCATCTTGATTTTAAAATGTCTAGTAATGGCGAATCCACCACAACCCTTGGTAAGCTGCTCCAATTATTCATTCCCCACCCTGTTAAGTCAACCCTTAACCTTCTCTTTGTTAAGCTATATAGACCAAATTCCTGGCGTGTCTCACTCTTGGACACCGTTACTAATCTTTTAGTCATTCTTGTGGCTCTTCTCTGACCCCTCTCTACTTCATAGATTCATAGATATTTAGGTCAGAAGGGACCATTATGATCATCTAGTCTGACCTCCTGCACAACGCAGGCCACAGAATTTCACCCACCACTCCTGCAAAAAACCTCACACCTATATTTGTGCTATTGAAGTCCTCAAATCATAGTTTAAAGACTTCAAGGAGCAGAGAATTCTCCAGCAAGTGACCCATGCACCATGCTACAGAGGAAGGCGAAAAATCTCCAGGGCCTCTTCCAATCTGCCCTGGAGGAAAATTCCTTCCCAACCCCAATATGGTGATCATCCTTTTCGAACCGGGGATACCAGAACTAGACCCAGGGTTCTAGCAGCGGACCCCTGCCCCCCCACAAGACAGAAACCAGGAAACGGAGGCATGGAGAAATTCAAGTGATTTGCCCAAGGACCTACAGCTGGCAGAGTGCTGGCAAGGCTGGCCTTTCCTCCTCTTCACCTGCAGAGGTTTCCGCTCCCTGTGCCCCTCTCTTTTTTGTTTCATTGCCGTTACTGCAAGTTCAGAACTGGCCTGACCACTTTCCAGGACTTCCCAGGAAGTTTATTTAAATGCTGACGCTCCTCTCTATAACCCAGTTTCTGGGGGTAGTTCACATTCAGAGTTTCCTCTTGCGGGTGGCTTTACAAAGGCACAGCCCTTCCAACATAACCTCTTACCCTTTAATAAGCCAAAATAAACAGTCATTTAAGTGGCACTTAGATCTGCTGATAGCTGGGAGATTTGAAAGGAGGGAGGCTTGCTGATGAAAAGAGGCAGGCATTTAGGACCAGATTACCTTCCCTGCTACAGTTTAAGAGGTTTGATTTTCATTCCCCAAGGCCAAATATCACTCCTGGCAATACCTAAAAAAGACCAATTAATCTGTGGACTACCAACTGCATACACTATCCCCATCCATGCAGGGCTATAGGGACTTGTTAAATGCCCGTCCATTTCCCCCATTGGAGGGAATTGGCCTCGGAGGGCAGGGCGGGAGGAAGGGAGGGCTGCCCCAGCACACTGGTTTCAGAGTAACAGCCGTGTTAGTCTGTATTCGCAAAAAGAAAAGGAGGACTTGTGGCACCTTAGAGACTAACCAATTTATTTGAGCATAAGCTTTCGTGAGCTACAGCTCACTTCATCGGATGCATCACTGGGTTTTAGATGCATATCTCTCTCAAACAGACACAAAGGTAAACAAAGGGACCTGGCTCAGGAATGAGAAGCAGCTGAAGTTTTGTGGAGAATGAGAAGTGTTTGAGTCTGGCACTGACAGAAGACATGCTGAAGGTTCAAACACAGGAAATCCTTGCTGGATTGGCCTGCTTTTCTGGACGGCTAATCACCATGGCCTCTGAGCCCCTGGCCAGCCCTCCTCAATGGAGAGTCTTTTGTCCTCATGCAAACATGCCCACGCTCACTGCAGCCTCCAACCCTATCACCCCGCACTCACCCCATAACCCATCAACAACTCCCCCCCCACCCATCCACTGTCCCCAATACCTTCTGGGCCACTCACAGCACCTCCTCCTCCTGCCAGCTCAGCATGCCGCTCCCTCCCATCCCAGGGTAGGGCTGGTTTTCCCAATCCCGGCTCGCTCCCGTCGCCCACGCTGCATTCACAGGGCCTGACTGCCCCTCTGTTGTGCAGGCCAAATCTCAGCAACTGGCATTGTGATCCATCTGGCCAGGGCCTTCTGCAAGTGCAACAACTGCAGACTTGTTAATCTGGGCCTGGCTAGGGGCTACAATCCACTGAGTCTATCCCCCTCTGGTCTACTTTCTGCCTTCGCCACAGACTTCCCGTGCAACCTTGGTCAAGTCACTTTTGCTCCTCCATGATTCAGTTCCCCCCACACCTCACCCCAGAGAACAGAGACAAGGATTCTCTATCTCAGCTGCCCGTACTGAGACTCAAAGTCCACCGACTGGGAGGTGCTCGAGGAGAAAGCTAAAGGTTTATTGGACCAGCTCCGGGCCTGGCTCTGCCGTTGTCTCACTGGATGATGACCCACCACAGACAGATGGGGCTACCAGACAAAGTTGTTTCTACGCACTGAGCCACACGCGAAGGTTGCCAGACATGGAGTCTACAGCTGCGGCAGGATGGTTGGCTTCAGGCCTAGGGTTGCCAATTTTAGTCAGATGTATTCCTAGAGATTTCATCACATGACAATCTTTAATTAAAGATTAATCTTTAATTCCTGGAGACTCCTGGCCAATCCTGGAGGGTTAGCAACGTTATTCATGCCATAAAGGGAGTTGCAGAGGGACTCAGGAGGGAGTTGACACATACAACAGGACAGTCAAACCCGGGGTCCTGCTACAGAACATTCTGCTCGCAAACCCTCCGACTCAGGGGCCCCGTTAGCACCCCTGTCATTCTGCCACAGAGGGGAAGGGTACTGATTGGCCAGCTGGATCAATGACTGCGGGAACAAATAAGGTGACCACAGTAGGCTCCGTTTATACAGCTAGCACTGCTCCAAGCTGACACTCCCCCACCCGGCCGGCTCTCCAGATTCGCAAGCCACCAAACTGCCCTGAATTCATCCATTCAAACTGCCCTGAGTTCATTCATTCATGAACGTGGATGCATGAGGAGTGGAAAACTCTGACCAGGCTCGGCAGATCAAACTCCCTGTGCAGAAGATTAAACTAATTATTATGTTTATGGTAACTATTCTGCCTCCCACTGCGGGGGGGACCCCACAACCAGCAACACACTGGCTTGTGAATCAGCACTGTTCAGAAGCTCAATGTTCCCTGGTAAACAAAGAGAATTTTCACTGGCAAAGGCCTGATTTGCTCTAAAATAGCACATTTCCCTCCCCACCGGCTTTTCCGATCGATGTGTTATTCGGGACACCCACTATAGATTATTATAGATACTCTACCCCCAGATAAGGAGGTTGAGATGACAAATTCTTTGGGGGATTATGTCTGTTGGACAGGCCAGCTGTGGGGACCCTAGCCAGCTCCTGCAGGGGAAAAATCTGTAAGCAGTAATACGGCTGCAGCTGGGAGCTGTGCTGAAAAGATGCGAAGTGTTCTAGATTACCGAGCCGTTATTCTAGATTATTTACACATAATACGGTAGTGCTGAATGACCCCGGCCGAGATCAGGGCCCCATTGTGCCGGGCGCTGCCCAGACACAGTGAGACACAGGCCCTACCCCAGCTGAGATCAAGTCCCCATTGTTTTGGGCACTGCCCAGACAAAGAAGTGCACAAAAGAGCTTACCATGGTAAGTTAAGACCAAAGCTCCTGTGGTTATTAAAGGCAGCAGCCCAATGCCTCCGAGGGGCTGCAATCTGGGGTAAGAGTCATTACAATCCCCACCCCGAAGGACCACATATGTCCTGGTCAAATCCCAACCCACATTCTGCAGTCCCAAAATTCTCTCTTGCGGTTTCACTGGATACAGCATCTTCTGGACTTCAGAAAAGCAGACTTTGACTCCCTCAGGGAACTGATGGGCAAGATCCCCTGGGAGAATAACATGAGGGGGAAAGGAGCCCAGGAGAGCTGGCTGTATTTTAAAGAATCCTTATTGAGGTTACAGGGACAAACCATCCCAACGTGTAGAAAGAATAGTAAATATGGCAGGCGACCAGCTTGGCTTAACAGTGAAATCCTTGCTGATCTTAAACACAAAAAAGAGGCTTACAAGAAGTGGAAGATTGGAGAAATGACCAGGGATGAGTATATAAATATTGCTCGGGCATGTAGGAATGGAATCAGGAAGGCTAAATCACACCTGGAGTTGCAGCTAGCGAGGGATGTTAAGAGTAACAAGAAGGGTTTCTTCAGGTATGTTGGCAA